CATCACGTGGGTTAGTCCTCATCCTTACAAAACCTAGAAATGAACAATCAGGGAGCTGAGACAACCTGATGGAAATCATGTGATCAGCAAGAGGAAAAGGCAGAATTTGAGCCCAGGTCCCTCTGGTGCTTCTCAGCAGGGTTGTATTCCTGCTGAGGGGTATTACGGGTGGGATTCTGTTTTCTGCTGACTTCCTCGGTGCCAGTCTCTGTTCTAAGTCCTTTACTGAGGTCAACCCATTTACACTCCTTCTCCACATACTGTGCCATAGATACACTAAATTCCGATTTTACCAAAGATCAGAGATGCTAAGAGATTGACACAGAATTGTTCAGCATGTGGCAGAGCTGGGATTTGAACCCTCACGGTCTAGAGTCCCAGCTCGTGGAGGAAAGTCCATGATGCTGCTGCTTTTCCCTGCTGCTGCTGCCTGTGGCCATCAGGTTATATAGTGAAGGCTCTATCCTTTGGGACCTTTGATGGAATGATGACTGATCAAAATGCAGAAGAGTATTGCTTTTAAGGAGCTTCCCAGGTGGCTCAGTGGTAAAGAATCCACCTGCCAAGCAGGAGACCCGGGTTTGATCCCTAGATAGGGAAGATCCCCTTGGAGAAGGAAATGGCAACCCACTCTAGTATCCTTGCTTGGAGAAGCCCCATGGACAGAGGAGCCTGGTGGGCTATAGTCCATGGGGTCGCAAAGACACCACTTAGCAACTAAACAGCAGCAGCATGTTTCTAAAGGATTTTCTGAAAACTTATAAAGAAAATAAACTCTGTTCTTCAGCTTATTAGTTCCTTGAGGATTTTCTTAGGGCCTTTTTCTTCTGTCAAAGTTGCAGAAGCCTTGGGACTTCCCTGGCCGTCCAGGGAAGACTCTGCACTTCTAATGCAAGGGATTTGGGTTCCATTCCTGTTGGGGAACTAAGATCCCATATGCCAGGGGGGTGTGGCCAAAAAGTAAAAAAAGAAAAAAAAAGTTGCAGAAGCCTTTCCTGCTTCTGACTTTTCATTGATCCATAGAATATGTACTGTCCACATCTTGCTTCCCTTCTGGGGAACCCTCATGAGGTGACTTGGGGGAAGCCTGACTGAGCATTTGCTTAGTCCTGGCTCGTCATTCCTGGGCAGGATGATGCAGGGCCGTGTGAGATAAAGCTAACTTCACTTGCTGCTGCTGCTGCTGCTAAGTCACTTCAGTCGTGTCCGACTCTGTGTGACCCCATAGACGGCAGCCTACCAGGCTCCGCCGTCCCTGGGATTCTCCAGGCAAGAACACTGGAGTGGGCTGGCATTTCCTTTTCCAATGCATGAAAGTGAAAAGTGAAAGTGAAGTCGCTCAGTCGTGTCCAGCTCTTCACGACCCCATGGACTGCAGCCTACCAGGCTCCTCTGCCCATGGGATTCTCCAGGCAAGAACACTGGAGTGGGCTGGCATTTCCTTTTCCAATGCATGAAAGTGAAAAGTGAAAGTGAAGTCACTCAGTCGTGTCCAACTCTTCACGACCCCATGGACTGCAGCCTACCAGGCTCCTCTGCCCATGGGATTTTCCAGGCAAGAGTACTGGAGTGGGTTGCCATTGCCTTCTCTTAACTTCACGCGCTAAGGTGCACCATACAGAAACTAAGGTGATGGGGGTATTGACTCAGATATTGTCACTACTGAGATGGCAGAAATTCTTCATTCATTGGAATTCTTCATTCTGAAGCTTGTTTCTACCTTAGAGTCACTTTCCTGATCCTTATTGAAGACCTTTCTAACACAAGGTCTCACTAAGGGAAACCCTCCTACAAGATGTCCTAGAAAGTGCCTGAATCTTGACTTTAAGGGGCCCAGAATAATCTCTTTTCATTTTTTTATGCTTCACAGGCAACTGGAGGAAAGATGGGGAAGGATCTTTCTGGTTAGAACAGAAGAGGGAGCCTCCACAGGGGTAAAGAGGAGGACGGACAGGTGACCACCTGTCCAGGCAGGGAGGCAGGGCCATCACAGAGGTCTGCATGGTTTGGCCATGAAGATGGCCATTTGGGTTCTGGTTCTGGTGTGGTGAGTGTCCCCCACAGTGTTCATCCTGCAGATGTTATATGGCCCCACCTGACTCCCCATGAAAGGAGATGTGACCCCAGGGCAGGAGCCACCTTATGACCCTAGAATAGCAATGTGGAACCTGGCTGGTGGTCCCGGCTAGATGAGCCAGCTGCCCTGAGGCTGACTACAGCCTCTTGTAACCCACAGCATAGGAAAGACTTTGAGGTTTAAAAAATGACTTGTATAAATGTGCACAGAGCAACCCCTCCCATTTGGAAATATGTGAAAAACAAAGTCTTTGTCCCTTTGGATAAATTACTAACCCAGAGCTGTTCTTTGGAATCATTACTGGCTGGCTTATTTGGACTCTTAGGGCTTTGTCATAGCTTCATTTTTGTTTGTAAAACATCCAAAGTATCCTTCAGCTGGAATTGCTCCCTTGCAGTGAGATCTTCCCTGACCATCTTGACCCTTGCCCAGCCGTCCCCCAGCACCTTGTTTCCTTTTATTAAAATGAAAGCATCTGTCATTTTCTGACATTATCTTATTCATTCAGAAGTACGTATTGATTTCTTGTTTTCCTCACTCACTAAGCTCCGTGAGGGTTAGATGCTGAATGGCACCTTGTTTAGCACTGTAACCCCAGCACTCAGTACAGTGGGGACAAAAAATATTTGCAGAGTAAATAATCACTCACCCAGGCCTCTGGGAAGATTTTGGGTGAGAGGGCTGAGGCCTGACTGCTCTTCACCCATCACACTGAGCCACGTGCCTGAGCAGGTGGAACGTGGGAAGTAGGTATTGCCCACACTTGCCTCGGTGGCTCATCCACCTGTCCCAGCCCCCCCAGGCCTCCCTAGAGCTGTCCCCATAGGCTAGTCCTTCTGGGGACTGTGCCAGAGGCTTCCTCCACACTCCAGGGTGTGGAGTGACCTTGAAGTCTACTGATTCCTATACTCATTTTTCAGGCTGGAGTTTCTGTCCTCTTCAGTGGATACTTTTTAGCAAGTATTGCTTGAGGGCCTACTATGTAATGCAAGCTGGGACACAGTGGTGGAAAACATACCCCTCTGTCCTCATCCTCATGAAATTAAAAGTTAAACAATCATGGCAACACGATGATGGATGAAGCAAGGGGGATCTTGAGAACTCTCCCTTAGTACTGTAGATTCTTAATGAGTGCTGCCTTTAGTGGGCAAACAAGGGATTTAACATTGAGAGTCAAGGGCTGTGCTAAAACCCTTTGTGTATATGCGATGTGTGTAATTCTCCAACAGCCCCATGAGGCGTCATTGCCGTCCATGTTCATGAATGAAAAGGAGAGCTCAGAGAAAGCAAGGGGCTTGTAGAGCTGAGGGCTGAGCCAGGTCTCTGTCAGGAAGCCCATATTCTTTTCCATCAATGCTGTTTGCCCTTTTGAATTAGTGATGATTTTAATGGGGGAAATGTCAGGCTAGGAAGGAGAGCCAGTTGGTGCCGGTAGGGCCGTTGAGGGAGATGGAGACCACTGAGTGGTTGGATCCAGCCAGGCCCTAGTTCAGTCCAGAATTTGACTGCCTTCCTTCTTCATCAACATCAGCCTCACAGTTGAAGTGAGAAAGAGATTGTGTGGAAGGAGAAGCAAAACCTCAGCTGCAACTCTGATAGATCCCTTGGTCTTTCATTCATGAAATAGGAGTGACATAATGAAAAGAAAAGGGCTCAGAGGAGGGCTGGAGGGATGAGATGATGTTTCCAGGTGGGCAGGAGAATGAGGCTGAAAGAGACAACACTGGAGAATGGGCTCAGTGATAACTGGAGTTACTTCCTGTAGAGTCAGGCCAGATGATCCATTTGGGTGCTGGCTCAGTTTTGGCCAGCCAGAGACTTCCAAGTTATGTGTAGAGAAAATGCATCTTCAGGAGTTGAAGCAATGAATACCATGACAGTCAGTCCCCAGACAAGTGCTCCCAGCAATCTCAGCCAACGTGCCCATTAACACCCACTCCCAGCTGTTTGGCATTATCTTCACGCTCTTACTCTTTCCCTCTCCACATCCAGCCTCTTCTCATGTTCTGTGCATCCTTCCTCAAAAACATTTCCCGTCCTTTCAGTGTTCCTATTCAACCCCAGGCTATGACAACCCTTTTCTCCCCTCATTCTAACAAACTGAGCTCTACTTTGGACCAACTATTTGGTTTCTGGGAATTCCACAATTACTGATTTGCAGGTACCTTGAAGATAAAGTAAGGACTCCAGACTTCCCGCTCGCTCCAGCCCCTAGGACTCCTGCTGGAGGTTGTGAGGTACCACCAGGAGGGGCCTGGGCTGGAAGTCAAAGTGAGCTGCTCACCTCTGCTGCTCCAGTTTACAGAGGGTGTCTTAGAGTGAGCTTCTTCTATAAAATGAGGTGGTGGGATCTGTCAATATTTATTTTCTTTTAGGATCTTGTCAGCTATAAAACCATAGATCCCTTGGCTTAGTTCCCATCTCAGTCTCCCTCCCACACAGAAGGTTTCTTTGCTGGCTTTGTCTCTCATCTAACTCATTGTACATTAACTCATGCATTCAGGGGTAGAAATTGGTTATTGGTGGTGGTGGAAAAAAACAGTCATTTTAGGTATGAAACATATGGACATATAGTGCATAAACAGATACACTCTATCTGTAATATTAAATTTTCATGGGGGAGTGTGTTAGAGAAAAAAAAAGCCTCCTTAGGGCTATAATGAGAAAAAGGCTGAGAAACATGAATTTAGCCACAAAGCTGTGCTGGTTATTATGCTAGGCATTGGACAGGTGAATGACAATATTGCCTTCCTTCCAGAAGCCACTCCAGATAGATGGTCATCCTTCTCATTCTGTTTCTCCCAAACCATGTGTCTCCTTTCATTTCTTCTAAATCTTACCAAATGCTCTCTTTTAGTGACTTCATAGATGCACTAACATTCTGGTGTTCATGGCTTATATCATGGCTTTTTTTTCCCTCTAGCTATGGAATTGCTGGCTCTACCAATGTGACGGGAGATCAAGTGAAGAAGCTGGATGTCCTCTCCAATGACCTGGTTGTTAATGTGTTAAAATCATCTTTTGCTACCTGTGTTCTTGTGTCAGAAGAAGATAAACACGCCATAATAGTAGAACCTGAGAAAAGGGTGGGTCTGCTCCTATGCTGCTGAGGGTTTTAATGTAATCACTTTTCTTTCTGGCTTCATAAATGATTCCACTTGTTCAACCAAGCTGAATTCTTAAGACTCACCCTAGATCCCCCCTGAACCACCAGTCATCATTTCACAGATTCCTCCTCACTGCTGTTATCTCAAACTGTCCTCTCCTGTCCATACTTTCATCAGTCTATTCTGTTATCATCTCTCCTATGTGCTCATACATAGGAGAGACTCAAATATACTCATATTTATCTCCACTTCTTTTAATTGTCATGTTCAAAGCTCTACAAAGTCTCTCTTCTGTTAACTACATCCTTTGCTTCATCTCCATTCACCTAGTTTCCAATCCTCACAACCAATCTTCCTGCCAATCTAAGCTGCTAGCAGTTCCTATCAGTGATTCATGCATTGGAATCCATTGGAATCTTATTAATCTTGTTACCGAACTTAGGTTGCTCAAGAATCAAATACTGAGAGACAAAAAGTGAAAGTGAAAGTTGCTCAGTCGTGTCTGACTCTTTGCAACCCCATGGACTGTGTAGTCTTCTGGGCCAGAGAACTAGGCCTGAATTCTCTAGGCTAGAATACTGGAGTGGGTAGTCCTTCCCTTCTCCAGGAGATCTAGCTCCAGCCCCTAGGACTCCTGCTGGAGGTTGTGAGGTACCACCAGGAGGGGCCTGGGCTGGAAGTCAAAGTGAGCTGCTCACCTCTGCTGCTCCAGTTTACAGAGGGTGTCTTAGAGTGAGCTTCTTCTATAAAATGAGGTGGTGGGATCTGTCAATATTTATTTTCTTTTAGGATCTTGTCAGCTATAAAACCATAGATCCCTTGGCTTAGTTCCCATCTCAGTCTCCCTCCCACACAGAAGGTTTCTTTGCTGGCTTTGTCTCTCATCTAACTCATTGTACATTAACTCATGCATTCAGGGGTAGAAATTGGTTATTGGTGGTGGTGAAAAAAACAGTCATTTTAGGTATGAAACATATGGACATATAGTGCATAAACAGATACACTCTATCTGTAATATTAAATTTTCATGGGGGAGTGTGTTAGAGAAAAAAAAAGCCTCCTTAGGGCTATAATGAGAAAAAGGCTGAGAAACATGAATTTAGCCACAAAGCTGTGCTGGTTATTATGCTAGGCATTGGACAGGTGAATGACAATATTGCCTTCCTTCCAGAAGCCACTCCAGATAGATGGTCATCCTTCTCATTCTGTTTCTCCCAAACCATGTGTCTCCTTTCATTTCTTCTAAATCTTACCAAATGCTCTCTTTTAGTGACTTCATAGATGCACTAACATTCTGGTGTTCATGGCTTATATCATGGCTTTTTTTTCCCTCTAGCTATGGAATTGCTGGCTCTACCAATGTGACGGGAGATCAAGTGAAGAAGCTGGATGTCCTCTCCAATGACCTGGTTGTTAATGTGTTAAAATCATCTTTTGCTACCTGTGTTCTTGTGTCAGAAGAAGATAAACACGCCATAATAGTAGAACCTGAGAAAAGGGTGGGTCTGCTCCTATGCTGCTGAGGGTTTTAATGTAATCACTTTTCTTTCTGGCTTCATAAATGATTCCACTTGTTCAACCAAGCTGAATTCTTAAGACTCACCCTAGATCCCCCCTGAACCACCAGTCATCATTTCACAGATTCCTCCTCACTGCTGTTATCTCAAACTGTCCTCTCCTGTCCATACTTTCATCAGTCTATTCTGTTATCATCTCTCCTATGTGCTCATACATAGGAGAGACTCAAATATACTCATATTTATCTCCACTTCTTTTAATTGTCATGTTCAAAGCTCTACAAAGTCTCTCTTCTGTTAACTACATCCTTTGCTTCATCTCCATTCACCTAGTTTCCAATCCTCACAACCAATCTTCCTGCCAATCTAAGCTGCTAGCAGTTCCTATCAGTGATTCATGCATTGGAATCCATTGGAATCTTATTAATCTTGTTACCGAACTTAGGTTGCTCAAGAATCAAATACTGAGAGACAAAAAGTGAAAGTGAAAGTTGCTCAGTCGTGTCTGACTCTCTGCAACCCCATGGACTGTGTAGTCTTCTGGGCCAGAGAACTAGGCCTGAATTCTCTAGGCTAGAATACTGGAGTGGGTAGTCCTTCCCTTCTCCAGGAGATCTTCCCAACCCAGGGATAGAACCCAGGTCTCCTGCCTTGCAGGCAGATTCTTTCCCAGCTGAGCCACAAGGGAAGCCCACTGAGAGACAAGTGTTGGCTAGAAGGAAAGATAGCTTTATTGAGGAAACCAGTAATCTTGGGGAGAAGGTGGACTCATGTCCCAAAGAACAAACTCCCTGCTGCTGATCTAGGGGCAAGAGTTTTTAGAGGGGAGTTTCGGGGGGTTATAGGCAGAGGGAAGGGGCTGTATGCAGAACAGCACAGTTGCGTTTGACAGTCATCTTGAAATCGGTCATGTAGTGGTCTGATCAGTGTCATCTTGATTGTTTTAAGAACAGCTAATCTTCAACTCCAGGGTCAGTTTGTTCCCATCTCCCTGAAGCTAGTTCTTAAAAATAATTGTGTAAGCTTAATGGTGAGTCTGGTTTTCATGTAGTTAACTTCTTCCACCTGGTGGGGGATTCAGTAGCTGCAAAACAGCTCAAAGGATATGGCTCAGAAGAGAGAACTGAAGGTTCTTGACTTTGTTTAGTTGGTCTTCCTTGATTGCTTTCCTTTGTTTTAGCATTTTCTCACTTCTATGATTAAATTTATTCTTTGGCCAAAGTGTTTTTCTACAGACAAAAGGCAGGCAGAGGACATGGGGTTGGGGAGAGGATCTCTCCTAAGAAAGCCCTACAGGGTCCCACTCCATTCCACTGTGATTGCTTCTTGAGGGCAGAGAGCAGTTTCTATTCTTCTGTGTATCCCAGCATCTGGCACAACACCTGGTGCATTGTGGGGGATCAACAATAGATTATTGTTGAAAAAGTGAATGAAAGGGTATATTCAGGTTTTATTGAACAACAATCATATAATACTAATAATACCTCTGAGTATTATTATGAGAATGAGATGAAAGAGTATGATGAGAAAAAAGCAACAGGAGGTCAATTTAAAGATACTGCCTGATATCCAATCTGACCTTTATAAGAAGAGTGGAGAGTCACATCCGATTTGATTGCTTTATGCCATTCCTAAAATACTACTAAAGTTCATATTGTTCTCTGCTGCATTTCTAAAGGTACTTGTCAGTTTTCAGCATGTTCATTTTAGAATTGAATTTGCTGTTTAATATTCTCTGTCAGCCCAACTTCTCTGATTACAATGTACTGTAGTGATAAGTGTATTCCTGGTTTCCTGATGACAGTTTCTCCTGCATTGGCCAGGAGGATTTGTTAAGAGCAAGAAGCCAGGGAATCAGAGAATTGCCTTAATTTGATGCAAAAATTTAAAAACACATATTAAAGTGACTAACTTGGAGAGGGAAAATTTCCAGTGGTATGCTGGTAAACTGGCTCTCTATTAGAAAAAAAAAATCTTTTATTTGTAGCACTTGTCAATTGAAACTGAAATAGTGTCCCATAATTGATTTTAAGTTATCAACATGACATCACTGAAAATAGAGTTGGGAAGAGATGTGCATAATTGGCTCTTGAGAACCAATGCCAATCAGCTCCAGAGTACCACTGAAAATCCTGTCCATAGAATAAGTCTTTGGTAGTTCCACTACAGTTGAGGGTTATTTCCTTTGGGAATTATAATAGGAATATGGGTGAGAACTCTGTGCACTGTAACCCCATGAAAATTTTCTTATAGACGTTAATGTTGACTTTATTTCACATAAGTATTACATTTGTGGCTCAGACAGTAAAAAATCTGCCTGCAGTGCGGGAGACATGGTTTTGATCCCTGGGTCGGGAAGATCCCTTGGAGAAAGGAATGGCTACCCACTCCAGTATTCTTGCTTGGAGAATTCCAAGGATGAATAGCGTAACCTGGCAAGCTACAGTCCACGGGGTCACAAAGAGTCAGACACGACTGAGCAACTAACATTTCCCTTATGAATAAAGAGAATGAAGTGACTAATCTTGTTTCTCTTCTTCCTTGACTGGTTAGAGGAAACTCTAACCAAAATGATGATTCATTCAAATCAATGATATAGTAAATTATTATTTAATATTTGTATTTCTCACCTTAATCTAGGCCTCCTATTCTGTGTTTCTCTGCCTAATGATCTTTTGATATATATTTGTTATTGTTTTCACTCTGTGTACCATCTCATACTTTCTCTGACAGAGTATAAATAAACACATTTCTTGAATTTTCCCTTAGATTCCTTCTTTTAACCTCTTAGTGTATATTATCTGTTTTGTTGCAATGTATTCACTTTTAAAGCAAAGTTGTATTAATATTTTCTTTCTTTTTTGTTCAGGGTAAATATGTGGTCTGTTTTGATCCCCTTGATGGATCATCCAACATTGACTGCCTTGTGTCCATCGGAACCATCTTTGGCATCTACAAAAAGGTAAAATGTAATGGATCGAGCACCTGGTTTGGGATCAAAAGTAGAGTTAAGGTTGAACATCCAGTCCTGTTTCACTGTTGGTGGCACAACCAGACTGTACGTCATGAAACCCCATGAGGCTTGAAGTTGGGGGGTAGCCTATCCCTTTTTCAGTGGATCTTTCTGATTCAGGAATCGAATTGAGGTCTCCTGCATTGCAGGCAGATTCTTTACCAGCTGAGTAACCAGGGAAGCCCCAAAGTGAAAGTGTTAGTCACTCAGTTGTGTCCAACTCTTTGTGACCCCATGGACTGCAGCCTGCCAGACTCCTCTGTCCATGGAATTCTCTAGGCAAGAATACTGGAGTAAGTAGCCATTTCCTTCTCCAGGGGATCTTCCCAACCCAGGAATCAAACACAGGTCTCCCACAGCACAGACAGATTCTTTAGCACCTGAGCCACCAGGAAAAAAAAACAACCCTTATTTCTCAAGTTATGATTTTCCCCAGCATTAACTGCATAGTGAAAACCTATTAAGTTGTTAAAAGAAAATGTAGTAAGAGGTAGGTAGGAAGAGATGGTGCATAGCTGTAGTACTGATAACCGTGTGAATTGAGAATTGTGAGAATGTGACAACAATAGGGATTATATCAAAACTGTCCTTTAAATTTTCTAAATCAAGTCTGCAAACTATGGTCTCCCTGGCCAAATCCAGCCCATTGCCTGATTGATATGGCCTGTGAACAAAAAATAACTCTTTGGCATTTTTGAATGGCTAAAAAGAAAATCTAAAGAATAATATTTCATGACCCATGACATTTATATGAAACTTAATTTTCAGTCTCCATAAATATAGTTTTAATGGCACATGGTCAGCTCCCTTGTTTACATGTTGCCTTTGGCTGATTTTGCACTAGACAGGCAGGGTTAAGTGGTTGTGATAAGGACTGTGACAGTAAAGCCTAGAATATTTACTATTTGTTGGTTTATGGGAGGATTTTGCTGACCCTAAACTCCTTTGCCATAAATTATCGAAAGCACACTGGTACAGCATGGGGATCCAGATTTCTGCCCTGTGTCTCTTCTACCCACGTGACCTGTGCAGGAACTCTACCTCTAAAGCCTCTCTTTCCTTCTTTTATTTTAAGTCTGTGTGTGGAGGGCTGGGGGTTGGATGTTGGTGGAAGAGAGTTCAAATATACAGACAAGTGATAAATAGATGAATACCCATGGTTCATCATAAAACACAATGAAATCTAAAATGTGTCATCTTGTCTTCAGCCCTCTTGTTTATTTTAGAAATAAAACCTCACAGATGCCTTTGAGGCTGAGCCCTTTTCTTCATCTTAATGGATGAGGCAGCTAATTCAGCTGACCTCCGAGGTTCCTCCAACTCCCCCATTCGGGGATATAGAGGCCATAACTTAAAAACTGAGACCGCAATTTGTGCTTTACTTTTCAAAGTGACTTGTTGTCTAGTATTGCACATAATCTCCTTTCAAACATGGATAGTAGGACCACCATGGGACAGTTTTCTTTCGTTACTGAAATAAATTTTGCATTTGTCTTAGCTGGGAGGCAGTGTAAGTAATTGAAGGTTCTAATACTCATACCAGAAAGACAAAGGCAGGAATTAATCTATCTTTCAAGTCAAACCATGAAATATTCCATTCTTGGTATAGATATGCAGGCATATAATTTTACCTGCAAGGTTTCAGATCTAAATATTATAGTACAGCAAGAGACCTTTGTAGCAAAATTCCTCATATAGAGGTAGACTTTTGGTTAATGACTCAACCAAAGCTAAAGCAGCATTAACATTTGCCAGCCCCAGTTTCTGTCTCAACTCCCCTCCCCCAATAAAGACCCTTTTAAGGGGAAAAAAATTGGGAAACTGACACTATCAACTAAAAAAAATAAAAACAGCCTACAACAGCAGCTTGAATTACAAATGCTAGAACAACTCAACAATGCGTCTCACACTCTTCTCAATAAACCCGAAGTGACTCTCTTAAAGACTGAGAGAGGTGATGAGTGTCACATTGCCTTTAAGTCATTTCAGTTTTCAAAAGCCTTATTGATTGTTTGAAGCCATTTGAAAGTTTACAGGGCATAAATACTGAAATGTCTGATGTTTTAAAGGAGACCTCTCCTGCTTTCTGCAGAGCTGGTTCTGGCCTGGAATTCAGTTCCCTGGTGCACCCACTCAGTGGCATAACATCAGTTGGTAACAAGAATCTGGCAACAGTGAGCTGGTCTTGCCCACAAGATGCCTGGAAACAGGCTCCAAAGGGATCTCCTAGGGCCTGTGGTCCAGTGTTTCTATGAAGTTCCTGCCATGGCACCTCCAGAAGTGTCACCCTGCCTCTGGCTGGAGACATCCAGAAGGGGTAGAATTTTCCTGAGGTGTTGAATCAGTGTTTGTCCAAATATTGAATCAAAATCTGCCTCCCTGTTGCTCATAATGGCCTTTTGTATCATTAGAAAATAAGACTCTTTTACATGCTTGGAAATGGCTTTTTTGCCCTCCTCTCTCTTTCTTTTGAAGCTTGTGAAGTCACTTTAGTTGTGTTCAACTCTTTGCGACCCTGTGGACTGTAGCCCATCAGGCTCCTCTGCCCATGGAATCTCCAGGCAAGAATACTGGAGTGGGTTGCCATTTCCTTTTCCAGGGGATCTTCCTGACCCAGGGATCAAACCCAAGTCTCTTTAAGTCTCCTGTATTGGCAGGAGGGTTCTTTACCACTAGCACTACCTGGAAAGCCCTTTCCTTTAAATCTTAAGTTAAATATCTTCCATGTGAAGGATGATTTTTTGACCTCTCTCTTGTGCGTTTACCCTCTGTTGGATACATTCTAATTTTCAATATCTGTTAAAAAATATCCAGTCCCCACAACTAAAAGCAGAGTTTAAAAGTGCTCTAGCAGCTTCAGAATCCAATTCACTTCCCTTACCTGGACACAGAGAGACTTCATAGCCATATGGAATATGGCTTCCTGACATTGACATTTACTAGGTTTGTGGGACCTTGGGCAATATAATCTCTTGTTTCCTTATCTATAAGGGGAAGATACTGAAAATTAAGCATAATAGCAATGAAAATAGTGCCTGACACATAAAAAGTGCTCAATAAATGGTAGCCATTAATATTGCTTGTTTTGTCTATTAATATTCAACACACAGTTTCACAACTCAAACCAACTTAAGGAAGGAAAGGAAGGAGGGAAGGGAAAGGAAAATGATTGGTGTATGTAACTAGAAAGTCCACTGGGTAGTATAACTGTTTTCAAGGACTCAGACACTCATATAACAGGACACTTTCTCTCTATCTCTGTAGCTCCCTCCTTTCTGGTAGAAGAATGGCTCCCAGTAGGTCTGGGTTCACATTCAATCCTTTCAGTGTCTCAAACAGAAGATGCAAAGCTTAGACTTCCCTGATGGTCCAGTGGTTAAGAATTCACCTGCCAGTACAGGGGACATGGGTTCTATCCCTGGTCCCAGAAGATTCCACGTGCACAGGGCAACTAAGCCCACGTATCACAACTACTTAGCCTGTACTCTAGAGCCCAGATGCCCTAGAGCCCGGACGCCCTAGAGCCTGGATGCCCTAGAGCCTGGATACCCTAGAGCCCGGATGCCCTAGAGCCCGGATGCCCTAGAGCCCAGACGCCCTAGAGCCCACTGCACAGAGCCCACGTGCTGCAACTATTGAAGCCTGTGCACCTACCTCCTGTGCTCATCAATGAGAGGAGCCACTGCAATGAGCAGCCCATGCACCACAAAGGAAGAGTAGCCTCCACTTGTTTCAACTAGAGAAAGCCCGCATGCAGCAATGAAGACCCATCGCAGCCAAAAATAAATAGATAAATAAGTAAAAGAAGATGGAAACCTCTTTTCCAACAATTTCAACAGGGATTTCACCTCATCAGCCCTGCTTGGCTTGGCTTAAGTCATGAGTCCATCTCTCAACCAGTCACTGTGGCCTAAGGCATGCAGTGATCTGACTGGTCAAGTCAGGGTCATGTCACCATTGGAGCTAAGAGTGAGGGTGACAGTATCTTACAGAAGATTAAAGTTCAGTTGTCAGCAGAAGAGTGAAGCATTCTGGCCAGGCAAAATCAGCTGATGTTCACCTCAGATTATACCCCTTCTTAAGAGCAGTGACCTCATTTTATATATATTTTTTGTGCACTAGGTTGGTACAGTGGTGAGTAATATTGGCTGAGTTACTGGAGATGCTGCCAAATGCCCTGTGAGAACTTCTAGGGAGGTTTGGGTTGTCCCTCTGTGGGAAGGCTGTCTGATGACATGACAGCCCCACAGCACTTCCGCCTGACTTTCTCCTCCACCACCTCAAGTCTCCAGAATCCATGGTGTCTGTCATGCTTTATATGGAGTGGCATGGGTTAAAACAAAGCAATACCTGCAGCAGGTGGTGGCCTGTGATAAGTAAAAAAGGTAGGGTCCAGAGGCTTTCTAATGTTTGCCAAGCTTCATGCACATTGGTCTGTGAACATCCACATGAGACTGTAATAGGTTCTTTTTGAACAAAGGCATTCATTGTTGGGGGTTTGGAGGAGGTTGGGCATTAGAAGGGGGTTTGGGCTAGAAAAGAATTCCTCCAACTCCATGACTAGATGGAATTACTTTGTCTTTCTTTTGCATATATGGATCATAAATAATGTTACCATTTCTAATTCCACACAAGGAAGTTGAAGGGTTGAGATTATTTGGTGACAATATTTCAGGGAAAAGTGGTTCATTCTTTAAAAAAAATTTTTTTTTTAAAAATTTTTGGCTGTGCTGGGTCTTCATTGTTGCAAGAGGGCTTTCTCTAGTTGCAACAAGTAGAGGCTACTCTCTAGTTGTGGTGCTTTTGCTTCTCATTGTAGTGATTTCTCTTGTTGTGGCACATGGGCTTAGTTGCTCTGAGGCATATGGACTCTTCCCGAACCAGGAATTGAACACATAGCCCCTTCATTGGCAGACAGATTCTTAACCAATGGACCATCTGGGAAATCCAGGTTTGTTCTTCCTTGTGCCACAGGCAGACATGGATGATTCTGGATGAGGTGTCTCTCTGAGGGACTTTTCTTGGTAGAGACCTGACTACTCCAAGCCTCTAGGGGCTTCCAGTCAGCTTATCTGTTTACATACTGACTTTGTTCTACTTTGCGCTACACTTGCAGGGCTAAGTAGTTATGATAGAGGAGATGTTTAGAGCCTGCCTGTTTTCTTCCCACTGTATCACCGGTTTTGAAGGAAGTCGATTCTCCTTTCAGGGTTGTACACTGGCAAAATTTGGAATTTGAGAAAACAACTCAAATATTTGATACTGTGTTTAGTCCGTGTTTAGCTGTACTGTACTACCCTGTGAATACAAACCAAACTAAATCAAATAACTTGGCCCAACCCAGCCAGCCAAGCAACCAACCAACGATCTAGATGTATTAAACACAAAGCTTGGAGATACGAGAACAAAATGAAAGAGGTGGTTTTTTTGTGACTCTTCCTTTTACATGAGTAGTTCTTAAGCTTCAGTGGGAGAGTCACCTAAGGTGCATGGTAAAATGAGGATTCCCAGGGCCCACCTTAGAAAATCTGACTTAGTAAGTTTAGGTTGCAGGCCCAGAATTGCCTTTTAAATAAACATCTCAAGTGATTCTGAGGGACATGGTCTCTGGGCCACACTTTCAAAAGTTATAGGAAAAATTACCAGGAATGTGTTTGCTGAGGTGACCTCCATCTCCAGTATCATGATGTGAATTCCCTTATTTATTCTCAGGCCCTAGAATCTGTGGTTGGGGAAGGGATAAATGAAATTTGCAGAAACTGCTCATTTTCATTTCTGTTTAAATTCAAGTAGAGAATTTTCAAGCAGAAAGAATTTGTTTGAGGCTGCTTTGAGGACCATAGAAGCCAGTTATTAAGAAGATAACTATTAGTGACCACTGCTTAGGAGCCATGACCTTAAGTTGTTCCTTTCCTTAGTATTAGGGAACAAACTGAGGCACTGTCCCAGTGGGCTGTGTTTTTAATGAAAAACAAAGATTAGAGTAGATGTCATGTTCTAAGTGTAGGTATTGTTTTTTTAAATTTTTGTAGTTGTATTGGTGCTGGTTTGTGATATAAAATGTATTTTTTACTGTGGGTCATGGTTAAAAACATGGAGAGCATTGTCCTGCATGGTAATGACCCTGGAGAGAGAGTCTCAGTGTCTGTATTTCTGAGAATTTCTTGTGTGACTATGGAGCATGTTGCTCACTGGAGTATGTGCCACAACTGGCAGGAGCTCAGGAAATTGATCTCCTCGCCAGACTGGTAGCCGTGCAGCCCAGTTTTAATTTGCTTAAATAAAGATAGAGTAGGCAAGGGAAAGACATTGATGTCTGTAATAAGATTAAATTAGCGGGCGCTGGCATGGAGGCATGCTCTTTTTTTGAGAGTGATAATGGAGAAATGAAGGAATATCAAATTAGTAAGATTGAAGGAGGACTCAGATTGGAAAGATGGATCCAGATGCAGGAAATTTGGGTTTTGGTGGGAAGGTCGCTGTGGTAATATAATCAGGATATGACTGGTGTGTGGAGGAAGCCCTCCTCCCTGCCCCTGTGCCCGCCCCCACCCCCCCATCCAGGAAGATGCCCTATTTCATTAGGAGAGCACCTTGATAATGCATCTTGCTAAGGGAGGAACTGCAAAAAGAACCACAAAACAGAACAAAACAAAAATGTGTTTTGCTTTCTTTCTTGTCCTAGATTTCGAAAGATGACCCTTCTGAGAAGGACGCTCTGCAGCCAGGCCGGAACCTGGTGGCTGCGGGCTACGCGCTCTATGGCAGTGCCACCATGTTGGTCCTGGCCATGGCGAATGGAGTCAACTGCTTCATGCTGGACCCGGTGAGAGATCCCGGAGTCGGGGGTGGACTTGGGTGCTTGGCTGGTGGCTGTGAGTGTCTGTTGTGTGTGTGGCGGTGGGAGTCAATTGCTAAAGGTGGAAGATGAGGCCCATGGAGGGACAGGGATGATGGGGTGGGGAAGCAGGGTAGAGAGATGGATGGACCATATGTGTACATCATAAGAAGATTACTGAGGTGACAAATGGTGTCTGTCCAGAGCACAAGAGGAAGCCTTTGTTTCACAATGAATTCGTTAGGGTGGACATTACTGAGCTGACTCAGATGCCTGCTGGGCTGGGCAGGCCACACAGATGAGTGGAGTGTGCTGGGGCAGGATGGCGGGTGCTGTGACAGGCAGTGGAGGGCAGCAGGGAACTGGGGAGGTCCAGTGGTTGTTACTCCTTGGGAATAGCGGCTCATTCTTCCATGACTTCCAGTGTTTCAAGAAACACTGGATTTTTAGAAAATGTTAGGTTTCTGGATGTGTAAAACACTGTGCTAGCCAACTAAAGCACGTTTATAGACCAGATGGGGCCCATAGATGGTCTGTTTGCCACCCACTCTCTCCATTACCAGTTTATTTTCCTGTGGTGAATGGGTGTCCCAGCTGAAGCAGTAGACCGCCTCATTTCTTCAAAATTAGCTCCCAGATTCATTTGATGCATGGCAACATCAAATGAAATGCAAGCTTCAGTGCATGCAAACTCTCAGTGAACCCTTGTGGTTTTGAAAGACTCTGACGAGTTCGAGGAAGTGAAAATAAGGAAATGAAGATAATTTCTTAGTCTACCTTATAGAGGAAACTCCCTCATGAAGAGGAGCCCAAGGTGCCATGAAAAATATTCATTAGCAATTTTAATTTGAGGATAACTTCTTCCATATGTCTATTAATTGGGGTTATTTATTTACTCTGTTAGATGACAGTTTTAACAGAGCAGATAAACCAGGCATAGAATTCTCTTTAAATACTTTGCCGAATTAAACCCAGCTTTTATATGGACTCTATAGAATCATCTTCAGTAGGTATGCCTTTGGTCCAGTGTCCCAAGGGAAAAAGAATTGAGTTTATAAACCTTTCAGTTTTAGAAATGTCCTCAGATAACATTTAATGAAGCGCTTTATTTATTTGGTGCATTTTGCTGACAAACAGCACTAGGTACCTTTGCCCACTGGAATCCTGTGAGGAGCAGGCTGCTGGTGGGGTTCAGGGTTCGTGGGTGGCAGATCGCAGAAACTGGAACGCAGGCTGCCTTTGTCCCCTGCGTTGCTGCACAACTGGACTTTGGCTCCTTGGCATACTGGTACTTAACAAATAAACAAGGGTAGGGAAACAGCACTAGTTCAAGCCTCCAAAGGCTGTTATTTCAGGGGGAAACAGTGGCAGACCCAGAGCAAAGTTCACATTGACCCCAGGGATCGGTTTCCGAAATCACCGATGTTTGTGAATTTGTCCTCCTGCTGGGCATTTACCTCTTCCCCAGACATTCTTCTGGTGACTTCTCTATTACCTTTGAACTGATGGAAACATTAAACCTCTTCTTGTTTCAAGATTGCAGATGTTATGTCCGGGAGTAAGTTTCTGTGTGTTTCATCGTCTCTTGCTGTCCTCACACCTAATGGCCACTTAGTGTTTGGAAGAACCATGCAGGCTGGCTACCCTCCTTCCTGCTGGCTGCCCTCCCCATCACTGACAAAGCCTCTGCTCCCCATGCCTGAGGAGTGGGGGTTGGGGGGGGGGGCGAGCCTCTGATCAGCATAGCGCTTTCATTTCATTTTGGCTGACAGTTTCTGCTGAAGACTGCAACAGCTTTATGTGCCTCTCTAGCAAGCTTTAAAGTATGAAAGGCTTTTCAGTCTCTTTTGATGTACAAGAGACTCACCGCCTCCATGGGTAGGATGCTCTGGCCAGGTACCGGGGTGAGGTGTCTGCAAAGCATGGCTTCATAAGCATTTGTGCAGTGGCTTCATTTTCTAGACTTTCACCAAAAACTTATAAAGAAAAAACAGAAGAATCACTCACAACGATACCTTTCAGTGACCACTGTTAATTCTCATCTCTTTTCTCTCCCTACACTCCTCTCTCCCTCCCTCCCTTCATCTCTAGTTCCAATGTGCTCCATATTGGCAGGAACCAGGCTTTGCTGTGGGAGTAAGTGGCTGGGGAGAGATGTGTCCATGGCAGGGCCTCCCTTCTTAATTCTCCTCTCTCTGGAGCAACTTCCTTCTCAGATGGGTAGAGCCTCAATCACTCTCTTATCAGGGACATGTAGAAGCCCCAAACAGTCCAGAGCTCCAGTAGTGATGTGACACTGTCTTCCCAAATTCAAATCTCCAAAATGGCAACCCACTCCAGTATTCTTGCTTGGAGAATCCTATGGACAGAGGAGCCTGGCAGGCTACAGTCCGTAGAGTCTCAAAGAGTCAGACATGACTGAAGTGACTTAACATTAACATTGAGAAATCTAAGCCCTAAAGGCATCAGCTTAGTGCTGGGACTTTGCAGAAGCTTGAGTTCAGTCTTCAGATCAGTGAGCAAAGGCATCAGAAGTTATACATGCGGTGAACTCAGGGTACTCGGGGAAAATGACATCAAGACAGAAACAAAAACCGGAAAGCTAAGATAAAAGCAGCCATGAACACTGGGTGCCCATCTCCTCTCCTGATATCCTAGCTCTAGCCTGCACCATTTTTATCCCCCCAAAGGCACACCTGCCCTAGGCCAAGGATTTCCCTTGCTGGTAATCACTTCACAACATACACAAATATGGAAGTGTTATGTCATATACCTGAGACTAACATAATGTTATGTCAATTACACCTCAGTTGAAAAAACAAAATCCAAGCTCTTTGTACTGAAGCATGTGCTGAAGCACAGGTGTGATCTCAGTCCTCGAGTGCCCCATCTCCCCAACCCGATCTGCGACTCTTTCCTGTAGGCCTGGAGGAGACGTCCTCACCTCTCCACTTTCCTTTCTGTTTCACAGGCCATTGGAGAGTTCATTTTGGTGGACAGGGATGTGAAGATCAAAAAGAAAGGGAGCATCTACAGCCTCAATGAGGGCTATGCAAAGGACTTCGATCCTGCCCTCACTGAGTATGTCCAGAGGAAGAAGTTCCCCCCAGTAAGTGGGGGCTGGGGGTGGTGGTGGTGGGGATGGCCCCTGAACTTTGCAGAAATGTGTTGATTCATGATTTACCCTAGAGAGGAAAGGTGGGGGATGGGGCAGAAGTAAGTGAACTCCACTGTGCACTGACCCCTATGGTTAAGCTCCTACTCAGGTACTGGGGACTGGAAACCCCATCCTGGGACATCACCCCTTTGTCACTTCCTCTTGACCGAAGAAAATCAGGACAATCATGTCAGCCAGGTGAATGATGTCATGGCAATAAAACATGTTCACTTCTGGGGTCCGTGATGTCAGTTGGTACAAACATGATTCTTGCACCCCAGGCCCCAGCCCCATGGCACTGGATGGATTTCTGTCAGTCGTCTCTAGATTAAGCATCCATTGTGGTAGCTCTCTAAAGAGGTTACAAATCACTGAAAACAAAGAGAAGAAATGGCTGGTCCTATGTGGGAAAATCCAATTTTGTCCTATTCTAGCTTGACACCACTAGAGGCTGCTGTGTTCTGAGGAGGAGGCTCAGATGCTATTAGTATGGCACGTGGGGCCCTCAGAGCTGACTCCCGGGCTCTCTCTCCTGCTTTATCATCTCTCCTTCTACCTCTCCCTAGAGATGCCCTCTGCCCCAGTGGCACCAGGCTCCTCCCCAGGCCCAAGGCAGACAGCTTCTCCTTTGCCTGAGAAGTTCCTGCTCCTGTGAGATGCAAACCTCACCCTTGTCCCTGCTGCTCAGCTCCACAGAATCCTTCTTCCTGCTAGATCCTGCTACCCGAATCAGCCCCATTCTCCTTGGGGCCTCCTTGGGTAAGCTGAGCTACTATGAGATGTAAGAGGCTGTCTCCATTATTCCCATTTTCTGCTTCTTGGGAACAGATTTTCATCACTAAATACACACCTCAAAAAAGGTGCTCTGTTTGATTGCTGAATCGAATAAGCATAGAGGACAGAAAGAAAACTCTCTTTTCTATAACCCTAATTATTGCTGGTCTTCACCTTATAGGACAACTCAGCCCCCTATGGCGCCAGGTACGTGGGCTCCATGGTAGCCGATGTACACCGCACCCTAGTCTACGGAGGGATCTTTATGTATCCAGCTAACAAGAAAAGCCCCAATGGAAAGGTAAATAAATCCCCTAAGAGTGGTGGAGCAGCGGTAGATTTCATTTGCAGCCTAGGGTATTTGACTGAGGAAGAAAGAAGGGTCATGGAAGCTGTTATGCTCTGCAGTAGGGTGCAAAGGATGTCTATGGCATATTCTTTTCTAGATTAAAGGCTGTCCTGGATAATGTCAGGTGGTATCAGGCAAAAACGATCTCTCGAGAGCCCTTCTGTTGCTAAAGATAAGTAAAGGGGTTATGGTCAGAGGGGACTGAAGCTGTTAGTGCTTCCAGTGGGTGTGTGGTTTGGCTTGGACAAAATGAATTCCATTCATAAAGTGAAATGAAACAGTCCAACCTCATTACCAAGGCAGCAAATCACATATGTATCCCACACAGAGGTTTTCTTTGATTGCTTTTTCAAAAGGCAGAAAATTGAAATAACTTAGTGAGCTGACATTTGCTGCTTGGAAAATGATACCTTTCTATAGAAGGAAAGAATCTCTGGGGACACCTACAGCTTTCAGGTGAGCTGTTACTGATGCATTACTCTCATGCCCACAGGCTTCCTGGAAGCCATGGGATGGGCTGTGCTTGCTCATGCTAGTGAAAGGATGTCCCACTTTTCTCCTACACAGAGGGTCAGTGTGTTTGCTTCTCAAGTAGTGTCCTTTTGTTACCCACACCCTCGGGCTTTTGTTAATATGAAAGAAGGAACAACAATCCCCATAAGATAGTTATAAATTGATGTACTTCAGATATGATCAGATCTCTGTTTATGGCATGTGGCATCCAGTTCACTAAGGATGTTCTTATCTACTTAAAACACCACTCTTGTCATAGCCCCCTCTGAAATCCCAACCTATGTGACTAGCCTGCTTTATAGCACTTTTCTCTAATGCCTCAAAAAATTGTTCCTTAATGTAAATATTGAGGTTCCCCCCCCGCCCCTTTTTATTTTCAGTTTTGCAGATCTGACCCTGACACCTGTATGGAAATAGAGTCAGGAAACACCTGCAAAAAGCTGTCTACTCAGTAGGCAGACTGCATGAAAATGCATACAATAAAAAAGTTAATATTTAAAAGTAAATGCCAAGATGTATAGCATACTAAATCCCAACCCTCGAGCCTTAGGAGAATTGTAAAAGGAATGTGTACAGAGTTGCAAACAATATTATACTGTTTGGAGGAGCCTGTCTGCTTTCCAGATGTCTGCAGCCAGACACTGCCATGGACTTTAAATGCTTTTAGAATAGGCAAAGGTCCATCCAAAACACACACAGAATCACTCATTAGGTCCAGTCTCTGGGCTATAAAGAGAAGGGAACCATCGTTTCTGCCAAAATGTCATTCAGTCCTGAGTCCAGGTGGTCTGCCTCACATGCATCAGGCAATCTATTGCTGGCTCTTGATGGATGGCTTAACTTAACCAAATGATTAAATTAACCATTCAGTCTTAGACACAACCTCATGGGGGAGCTTTTACAACCTCACGGAAGGTAAGGGAAAGTATCAGTTACCTTGGATCGCCTCTGTACTACTTTGCTAAGGAGCAAATTTCTTTTCTGTGTAATATGTTCTGGTGTGAGGATGCTGCTCTTGTTTTCCAGCTGAGACTACTGTATGAGTGTAACCCCATGGCCTATGTCATAGAGAAGGCAGGAGGAATGGCTACCACCGGGAAGGAAGCTGTGCTGGACATCGTTCCCACTGACATCCATCAGAGGGCGCCCATCATCTTGGGGTCTCCTGAAGATGTGACTGAGTTCCTGGAGATAAATAAGAAGCACGCTGCCAAATGAAGAGCGGGCCTTGCCCACACCAAATGGAATTGCCTTTTATCTGGACCTTTTATCTCACATAGTGTTACCACATTCCGACTGTTCACCATACGTTCCTAGTCATAGAAGTAAAAAGTATGGCTGTTTTCACCATCAAATGCTCTGTAATGCACTACCTAACCAAAATGCTAAATCAATAATGCTACAGATGGTCAAGATATATTCTGAGTGGATAGAGACGATATAAAGATATTCTTCCTTTTTCTTAAAAAGAAGTCTTGTTTTGTGCTAAATAATAGTAATAATAACAGCTAATGCCTATAACATTAGATAACTCATTTAATCTTCACAATGACTTTATGAATTAGGTACTATGAATAACCCATTTCACAGATTATGAGATAGAGGACCAAGTAAAGTGAAGTGAAATTTGCTCAGTCATGTCTGATTCTTTGTGACCCTGTGGACTATACAGTCCATGGAAATCTCCAGGCCAGAATACTGGAGTGGGTAGCCTTTCCCACCTCCAGGGGATCTTCCCAATCAAGGGATCGACCCAGGTCTCCTGGATTGCAGGTAGATTCTTTAAGAGCTGAGCCACAAGGAAAGCCCAAGAATACTGGAGTGGGTAGCCCATTCCTTCTCCAGCGAATCTTCCCGACCCAGGAATCAAACTGGTGTCTCCTGCATTGCAGGTGGATTCTTTACTAACTGAGCTATCAGGGAAGCCCAGCGGGCTGAGAGATGAGGTCATCTGCCCAAGGTCTCTAGCCAATGAGCAACTGAGCTGGGTTACGAACAAGGAATCTGGACACTGAACTTGGAGTTACCACATCAGCTCTCCTATGTGTTCTTTTCTGGGTGTGCAGAACAAACCTGAGTAAGGTTGTTTAAGCCCTCCTTGGAACTGGAGAATTGATAAGTTAGTGGTGGTACCTAATGAGATCTAGGGCCTCTTGGCCTCCTGAATCTGGTGTAACCATCCAAGTCACAAATGAAGGTTTATGTTATTACTCAGTGATAAATTTTCTAGAAAAACATAACACTTCATTGAATTAACATATGCAATAATTCCTAAGGTTTAATTCTGTAAACAAAAGGATTCATCATAAAAAGATTTAAAGAAATACAATTTGTTGCAAACAAGTATGTTTCTGCTAGGCTTTCCAGAAAAATAGTTCCTCCCTTAGCAGACCCTGGTTCTTTCTAGACTAGAATTCCAAGATTATAGCACATTATACCACATGTTAAATATCTGGACTTTCTTAAGCTCCATATTTATTAAGATTTTGCCATGGAATGTAGGTGGAAATAATGTATATAAATTCTAGTTTGAAAATCCAATGAATAGTTCTTCATCCACTCTTTTACCTTCCATACATTAAACGTTGTGTGTTTCAATGACAGTATGACAACAACAGGACAAAAGCCTCAGTGCCTGAGCCACTGTCAGAACAGTGTCTTTTCAAATGAGTCAGTTCTTCGCATCAGGTGGCCAAAGTATTGGAGTTTCAGCTTCAGCATCAGTCCTTCCAATGGATATTCAAGACTGATTTCCTTTAGGATTGACTGGTTGGATCTCCTTGCAGTCCAAGGGACTCTCAAGAGTCTTCTCCAACACCACAGTTCAAAAGCATCAATTCTTCAGTGCTCAGCTTTCTTTATAGTCCCAACTCTCACATCCATACATGACTCCTGGAAAAACCATAGCTTTGACTAGATGAACCTTTGTTGGCAAAGTAATGTCTCTGTTTTTTAATATGCTGTCTAGGTTGGTTATAACTTTTCTTCCAAGGAGGAAGTGTCTTTTAATTTCATGGCTGCATTCACCATCTGCAGTGATTTTGGAGCCCCCCAAAATAAAGTC